TTATGATAAACTTCTCCAGGTCCTTATTAGCTTGATGCTAAAATATGTCTCGCCTGATACAGCTCACAATCAGGAGCTGCGCCAGTGTCTTTCCTACTTTTTGCCTGTTTACTGCTATTCGTCTGGTGCACATCAACGACGGATGCAGAAGGTGAGTTGTATTAACCATCATATATTTTCTTAACCAATTTATCGGTTGTAGGCGTTCATTCAGCTTTACAAAAGCTTGAGTGAGGCGTATAAAGAATGGGATAGCGACGACGACATGATCAGTCCAGTCCAAGCCAGTTTGATGATTGTAGATTGGACAGACCCTCAGAAAGCACAGTGAGTTTTGCTTAACGTCCTTATATTATGCGTTACTAACCGCCTTGACATAGTGCTATTGCGCAGAACGTTCCCGGCCATGCTGTGGATGAGTCGATCCATATTGATCTTGCAGCTGATATTATCAGAGCTTTGTTCGATGATGATTTTGGGAGTGAGTCTAGTTTGAAAAAAAAAATCTGTCATCTGCAATGTAGTAATGTTGATTTTCGTTTGCAGAGGAGGATAAGAAGGCGCTATGCCAGCTCCTGGGTAAACTGCACCTTCCCGACCAGGTCGATGATGACAAGATCCGCTCTGTTAAGCTACTCATGCATAACTTGAACAGTGTAAGTGCATACTCTCAGACTTCATCCTGCTCTTAACTAATATATCGTTCTTAGCGACGTCCACTCCGCGATGCCTCAACGAGGAACGCCTTTGCCAAATTCGAAGCAAGCGTCTCCAAGAAATACGAGCGGCAACTTACTGACTTCAATGAGGATGAATATCGTCAGTTGGAGTATCTCCAGGAGCTCTTCGAGTTCTTGGACGGAGTTGTTCCCGAAGACGATGACGACGAAGCGATCGAGTTGCCCAAGAAGAAAGGAGGCAAGAAGAGGTGCGTAATCGCGGTCAACGTGACGTCGCGGCCTGCTGATGAGGATACTGGGTTAGGCGATCGGACAGCATCTCTACAGAGAGTGATACATCTGTTAGTGGTATGTCAGGTGATGATTCTCCTCCCCCTGCTTCCAAGCGCAAGTCCAGCGGCAAAGCAAAAGCCAAGTAAGACCTTATTTTCTTTTGCGACAAACGTTTCCACTTGCTAAAGGTGTTTCTCCCTACAGGCGACCAAGATTGTCTCAGTCCGACAACGAATCGGAGGCTGCATCTGTAGCTACTAGTCGAGCGGAGACGCCATCGGCTGTCATTACCCCAAGTAGAGTGATGCCTAAACGATCCGCGTACGTACTCTTCTTGATCGCCCACCGACCATTAGCTAACAATTATTCAGTGCCGTCAAATCTCGTGCTGCTGTGTCGAAGAATCTTGCACCTCCTCCAAGTGAATCAGAAGACGATGAAGAGGATAGGGATGAAGATGACGAGGAAGACGAGGAAGAAGACGATGACCCAACCCCTGCTCCAAACCGTATACGTAAACGTACGAACGATAGTGCTGCTGGTATACGTGAGGCTGCACGCCGTGTCTCTGAAGTAGCCTTTGAGCGCGAGGACTCGATCATGGATTCTTCCTCCGACGAGGATGCAGACGAAGTTGACGATCTACTATAGAACTCTGGTATTAGTCATAGTACCCACGCATCTCACCATTTCTCCTCTGCTTCTATCCTTTCAGTATCGTATTTAGTCTAATGAGCTCTATCTTTGTTTCGTATTTTGATTGGTTTTGCGATAAATGTACTGATGAAATATTTATCTGTATTTGCTACTACGCGAAGTAGTCTGTGTGGGCATCTCAAACCTCCTCCGGTTGCGGTAAGAGCTCCATCCACTCGTTTACCCACATGTACCTCGAAAACGATACATACAACCACCGAAACCACACCAATTGGCTCTTATGCTGCAGCATTGCCCGAAGGGCCTCGAAATACTCTCGAGTGCCTGATACGAAGACAGGTAGTCCGGGACTTGGCTCAGGACCGAGGCCATACCGCTGGATGGCACCACCCAGAAGAAGATCAAGCTTGGCGAGGAGAGGTGCGAGTGTTCCGACGTACTTGTCTACAATCGAATGGGATATGAGCGTGAACAGACGAGGGGGTGGCACAGAGTGTCGCTGCTGGAATGTAGAAAGTAGGTGAAGGGCACCGTGGGGTAGTGATTTATGGTTTGGGTGGTTGGATATACCGTGTAAGTCGAAGGTCAGAATCTGAGGTGAGATATTGTGAGCGAGGACATCATAACGAAGAAAAACAACATATGCCTACCAGGGTGATGTTGTGCTGGATTATGTAAGGTTCTACGACCTGTAAAATCACATCCTTGTCCCAATATGACGTGATATCATCCTGTAAATCACTTTGAAAGGGTTCAGTTTCGTGTGTAACTCCGAATGACCTTGCTCACGGTCTGTCAACTACTTGTCTCCTATCCTCGGTTATACCAAGTACGTCGAGACTTCGACTGAGCTCCTCTCTTCTAACGTTACCAAGACCATCTGCGTCTCCGACAGAAAGACACAAGGAGTGCAAGTTTGGCATTCCGGTGAATTGTCCAATTTTTTGAGATCTCTGCACTAAACTGCGTAACCCAAGCAACGTCGGCGCAAAGAACATGCACTCGTCATCAGGATGCGCGGTCAGCAGCAAAATATTCGTCTCTGTCGCATTGATATCTTGAAAGGCGGTAAAATTGCTCTGGACTGGACCTTGCAGTGCCCTTACCAGGAAGGCCACTAGCACGAAGAACCAGGCGATGTGCGCGAGAGCAGCCATGGGTGTCTCAGAGAGAAAGCTGGGGGGCGAGCGTCTGCTACGATTTCTAGTACGAAATAGGCAGCGAGCGTACTTTGTGGCGCAGGCGCTTTGTTGTGGCATTGCTCTCCAGTGCCACCACCACCGCTGGTTTCCAGTACTAGTCCCTGTTTCAATCCAGTGGAGGCGATGCAGAAATTCTCGGCTTGCCCGGTGAATGATATCTGCACTGAGCTTATGACGCTGTATCGCTGGACTGGATCATGGCGGGTAATGTTGTTCTTGAAGCTTGATACCCGGGCGGCCATACGCCGTCAACGCAGCGCTATGCTACATAAGTATAACGTTGACGAGATCTAAGTACTATCTAGTCATTGCTTACTCAAAGATATTGTAACAGGCCTCAATCCTAGGAGATGCAGACCGCAGTCTTGTTTTTCTATGGCTATCTCGGTAGTCGAGGCACAAGACGTTGCTTTGTGTATTTTTTATGAAACAATCGGAATACTGGGAGCAGTCGTTTCGTTTTTATTACTACCATGCGTGCCTATACCGTGCTCACTGCTTTGTATTTCCAATCGGGTTGATGCTCAACTCGTCCAATGAGTGGCAGGCGCTTCCAGGCATCCCGCATCAAGCACACCTCGTTTGTCTCGCCATCATTATTGTTGCAGGCTGCATTTTTTTTACCGCACTGCCTTTTCACGGTAAGATTCACTCAAATATAGTTGAATAACGCTGGGTTTATTTCATGGGTCACTGCGTACGGGAACAAACCACGCCTTTCAATGCTGAAACACAATGGCCCCGGGAAGGATTTGCACTGACTACGAGGCCAGGACAACACATGTGTAAGTCATGCGACGTAGTATTTGCAGTAGCGCGCTACGCTCAGGTTATTGTGAAACTTTTTAGGCTGTGCCATCCCTTTTGCTTCCGAATCACCCATTGGCCTAGATATCTCATTGACAAGAATATAAAGGCACTTGGCCAGTGGATGTGCTGTCAACGTTTCCTTCCCTTTATCTCTCTTGCCCTTCTTCCCGTGTATCAGACATGGTCGCAGTGTCCGGACTTATCAAGACCCTCTTCGCCTCTTCTGCTGCAAAATACACTCAGGAAATAGACCGGCTAGCAGCGTTCGGTGGTCTCGTTGGGTGCGACATTTCTAGCAGCGGCAACAGGATAGACCTTGGCCCTATCAATAACGCGTTTCAGGCCAATTTCACCCCGACATTTGTTGGACTTGCTTTTGGGACCCAAAACTACACATGCACGAAGGCAAATAACTTTACGTACGTTTGGATCTTCACTTATCATCCTTCCAACTGCCAATCACGACTCGCGCACAGGAACGTCGGCGCCGTTGCTCAGCTGTTTGACGTTAGCTGTCTCGTCAACGCATCCTTCTTCAACGAGGTCCAGATACCGCTCTTCAACGCATGGAACACGTTCCCTATGCTTACCATTCAAGATTTTATCAATTTCTTCCATGAGTCAAACCCACCCGAGGTCCTCGCACAACACTACTTTGTGCCTAATCCCGTTACTGGTCAGGGTTTATCGCCCAAGTGGGACTTCAGATCTTCGGGCAACCCGAAATTTGTCGGCGCTGATCAGGCGGTGTTCGTCGGGCAGGGAGTAGGCAACGTTCCCGCACCCAATAGGACGACAGATATCGCTTGGTTGAACGTCGCTAATATTGGTCGGGACAAAGGTGGTCAAATCGCCGATCAGGTCCTTAGGACAAACACTATTGGCGGTCAGCCTCCATCTACCGTAAGTTTTTGCGCATACCTATGAGGTGTAATCAATCCCCTCATCGTGACTTTAGTGCACCTTCGGACAGTCGCCTGATATTGTCGTGAAATACTCGTCGTTTTATTGTATGTTGTTAATCGTTGTTTCTAGTTCTCAGTGTTGATGCCTCGCTAATTACAGGGTTCTTCGGTGGCAAACTTGGTGGCCCCTCAAACGTCACACACTCTTAAAGGCATTATGGCTGCCTGATAGCTAGATGTGGGTGTGCATTATGGTAGACTTCCGATGGACTTTTGGATACTGGTAATGCTGGGTTTTCGACCCGCTTGGACGTTATGGTTTCCATTTTGATAGATATCCTATGCTGTATAGAACATTGTACTTGATAATTGGTGTATCTATATTTGGATAACTATTTTGGGGGGGTCGCATTACTGGTTTTAAGCTTTTCTATATTGCCTTACTGATAGCGTTAGGAGTGATTTTAAAACATGGCAGTGTAGCCAAGTGGTTACGGCGTCACGTTTAGGCCTTGAGCTAAATCCGTGATGGGTTTCCCGCGCGAGTTCGAATCTCGTCACTGTCAATTCTTGTGAACTTTTTATTTCTTTTACGTACCAGAGAGTCAATGTTAACGGCTACATGGTAACTTTTCTATATCGATTCACCATCTTCAATGTTATATTTACCCGCGCTGGCTTCTGAGACTATTCCGGTGTTTACACCGGGACGCTACTTAACGTTCCCGCACCGGAACGCGCATACTACAGAATGACAGGTCACGTAAAGCCCTAGGCATGCATGCATGATGCTCTGCCGGCTCACAGTCGGCATATGTACATGTGTTCCTGGATTCCACAGTTTGTTTGCCAAGGAACAGACATGGATAAAATAATCTGATGCTCAATAATGGAGTTCAGTCATCTGACGTCGACTGAGAGCCCTGTGGAACGCGGACGTTACGCTGAATTGAGTCCGAATCATTCCATTCTGTCTCTACTTGTCCGTTCGTCACGGTGCACTATAGAGTCCATTCCTATTCATTTTTAACACGAACACCGAAGCGTCTCCGTGATGACGCTAAACGATAGTACTATTACTCACAGGTCACACTGAAATGGATTTTGTACGGGGATGAAGCGACGAAGGATATTTTACCGGTCATGCTTGGTTTGTGTCGTGCGTATTCGCTAGGTACTTCGCTGAATTGTTGATGCATGGTCCCGTATGAAGATATCCGCGCACAACACCGCACGGTGACTCAGCGCTCAGGAGTTCTGCTAACATAGGATTCAATCATACGGCAACGCACAACCGTATCTGCCACATAAACTCCACGCTATGGAGTTGATGAATCCAACGTTGGATGTCGCCGTCGTACGGCAGAGACTGCGCCTACATTCCGCAATGGTCACAGCACCCGTGAGCAATGTGTGATAGAGCTATAGGATGACGAACGTTGGATAAAATACCCGTTATTCAAGTATATTTTCTCCTATAAAAGAGGTTTCATCGTCAGTTTTGTCTTATACGGAGGACAGACTTGACTTCCGTCCGAGAAACAGCTCTTGCACTTGCCTCATACCTTGCAAGGATGAAGTTTCCATCGTTGCTCCTCGCCCTTTTCGCTTTCGCCCCCGCTGTTCTAGGGAGTCCGACGACTTTGCCATCACAATGTGATGTGTCTTCAGTTCCGTTGGCTATCCCTACCAGTACCACTGGAACTCCCCTCGCAACACCTTTGGCTAGTGGTCCGAGATTCATCGGACTCGCCATCGGCACACAGAATTACACTTGCAGCTCTGCGGGTACTTATGCGTATGTTTTTGATATGGACTAGCAATTGTCTTGTCGCTGACGTTCGGTTCGTAGCTCTGCAGGAGCCCTTGCTGAGGTCTTCGATATATCGTGCCTCTCTCCTAGCAAGTACGACGGCCTCACTACCTCTGCCTACTATGCCTGGCAAGGGGCTCCTTCCTCAGTGACACCCCAAGACATCATCGACCATTTGGCTGGAATAGGCTCACCTGAGGTCCTCGGACAGCATTATTTTATCACGAATCCCTCGGGCACGGGTCTCTCGCCCAAGTGGGACTTCACCTCTGCAAGCGAGGCAGGACATCCTGACGCTTTTGTGATCGGTGCGAGAACGGGAGACATCCCTGCTCCGACCAACCCAACAATCAACATCGACTGGCTCAGCTTGAGCAACGCCGGAGGAGACCTTGCTGACCAGGTGTTCCGGGTCCAGACTCGGGGCGGCCAACCACCATCTTCAGTAAGTGGTCCAAGTTAGAGGCTGCGGATCAAGGCTGTGGGACGAAAACTTACGTTATCTTGCAGTGCACACCAGGTTCTTCTGAGATATTCGTCAGGTATACATCTCAGTACTGTAAGTGCACGGCCTTGTCACTGAGTGTATTGGCAAGAGATGTTCCAAATGCTCACGATATTGTGCTCTAACAGGGTTCTATGGGGGTTCGTTTTAGTCAAAGAATCTTTGGATATGATAGTTCAATCGGCATGCTTGGAAGATCCATACGGTGTTGTCAGTCCATGTCTATTGAAGAATAATGATGAATGATCGTACAATTGTGTAAATTTGCAGCATCGCGAGCGAAGGTGCTTTCTGTTCAATGAGTGAGAGATGATCAGTATAATGTATCAAGCGGTGAACGTTGTGAGCAGCGAGCGACTACATTCGCCTCACGAGAATGACATGGTTTGTGATACTGATGTCGGCGCCCATTGAATCCTTCCGCGCTCCATAAAAATGCCGAACCTTGGAGCACAGCCTTGCTCAGATGCCTTTCAGGAATCGACAGAACGTTTGGGAGACGAATGAGTAGGATGGGACAGGGACACACTGGTCGCCACGCAACGAGTACGCTGAACTTCCCACTGTGCCCATTCGGTACTGGAGTGCCTGGCGTCTGACCTGAACGAAGTCCAAAATCCCTGCCGAACGTCAACATGTTGCGGACACTGATAGAACACCACGCAATAGATGGACGGGGCGAGCTGCAAGTTAGGCTCAATGGGGGTGCCTAAAATCAAGATCAAGGGTTATGTGCTTTGATAGCTGATTAGGGAGACTGAGTTCAAACATAGAGTATAAAAGCATATGAGAACCAAACGTCCGCTTCCAAGCGACTTGCACTTCCTTCCTCTCCCACTCCTTTTACACTCCTTGAGGTCCAGCCATTCCTTACTCACCTTAAAAGATGCAGTTCGCCTCGCTTCTTGTTACGCTCTTCGCTTCTACGTATATAGTGTTCGCAGCGCCAGCCAAAACCTCTCACTGCGATCTTTCCCACGTTTCCCTCAATTTCCCAACCAGTCCCACTGGTACTCCGCTTGCTACTGCCATAGCGCCAGCCCCCAAATTCCTCGGTGTCGGTGTTGGTACGCAAAACTACACTTGCAGCGCAGCCGGAACATACACGTTAGTTATTTTCTCATTATTTCGCGGATCATACCACTTACTTCTTAGTTTCTAGCTCTGCTGGTGCATACGCCGAGATCTTCGATGTGTCCTGTCTTCCTACTAAAGACTCATACGCGTCCATCACCAGACTAGCCTTCGATGTGTGGAAGATAGCGCCCAAGTCCTGGACCCCCGCTGAGGTAGTCAAAACTTTGAGTGAACTTCACTCCCCCGTCGTGCTCGGACAACATTACTTTATTTCCAACGTTGCAGGTACCGCCCTATCACCCAAGTGGGACTTCACGTCTGCGAGTGAGGCAGGTCATACCGATGCCTTTGTCGTTGGCGCAAAGACTGGAGACATTCCCGCCCCCATAAACCCTGCGGAGAATATCGACTGGCTCAGTTTGAGTGGTACTTCCGGAGACCTGGCCAACCAAATCTTCAGGCTGGAAACTAACGGCGGACAGCCTCCTTCATCCGTGAGCGATCTTTGAAGCCCTTCAAAAATTGTATAGCTTACTCTATAATCCCAGTGCACTCCTGGTTCACCTGAAATTTTCATCAGATACTCGTCGCTTTATGGTGAGTACTGCTGAAACAAATCCACGGGGAAGGTGTACGTATTAATTCATAATAAAATCAGCGTTCTATGGGGGATCCTTCTGATAGCTTCACGTACCTAAGACGTGTTTTGGATTTCCCTAGAGGGCTTGCACGTTTATCTATTCTTGATACTGTTTCCGCTGGTTCCATATCTGTTAGCAGTATATGCGATGCATGATCAGCGCTTTGAGTTAATTATTTACTGTTAGGCCGATAAATGAGTTTGACAGCAATGCTCATGAAAACTATGCTCTACATCGGGTCAGAGAGCACTATTAAAATCCAAGCAGGCAAGCTGAAACTCACCACTCGCAGGCTTTATCTCTGAAAAGTGCATAGGTTATAAGTAAAGGGAACTCGTGTGTGATAGAAACGCCGTAAGCTTCCTTCACATAAGAACAGAAGTGGATATGATGTAGAGCCCGCAGTGGCAATGTAATATGGATACATGAAAGCGAAACATAACGAATGACAGAGACAGTGTACCATTTAATTTATGCGAATAAACTTGCAAACTTGGGGTCGTGCCATTTTTCGACTACAAAGTCGATCACATCTAGGTCTAGAGGAAGGTTAGATATTTCATTGGGTAAGACAGGAATGTTGAAGTAATTGCCTAGGTCGTCGCCATTGTTGATACAAGCTTGAGCTTTGATCGTATCCGCGCTCTGTACGACACCAATCACTTCAACGTAGGTGGAGGACAACGCAGATGCTGATCCCTAAATCCGGAACGTCAACATATAACTACTGTTTAAGCCATGACCACGCACCGGAATCATCACAACCTTCACCTCCCCTCCATCGCTAGCTTGTAGAATTACATCATCAGAATCAGTAAACTAACATCGAGCATGAGTCGAGAATTATTGACTTTTAGAGCTGCAACCTACACGAAGTACCTTCCCCGTCAATCTCACGGTACGGTTGCGATAATCACTCAACCGGGCGGAGTTGACGCGAGGTGAGGTTTGCGCTGACATTCTAAAGTATGATATAAGCCTTCCTAATAAGAATGAAGTAAAAACAAGACATACTTGAGTGAGTGTACAAAGTCTGACGGTGGTTGATTCAAGACTCGGGAGTTTGTGGCGCACGCGCCACGTTAGGGACGCGTACGAATGCACGTGAGATTACGTTACGCGTACCATAACGGCGCCTGTCACAGGAACATGTCACAGTGGTCCTAGCGCTAGCAGGATGTGGTTTGGCCTCCTCCTCCAATACGTTATTGTCCAACTAGTGGCAGTATCTCTCTCGCATCCTCCTCGAGAACATACCTTACGGAAGCTCTTATCTCTAGGACTCTGACTACTTAGAGGCTATCCCCTTTGTTTCTGTTTTGCATCTGCTACACCGGAAAGGTTCACCATGACACGCTTCTCTGCATTCACGAGGGACAGCGATGAAGACGTCTCGTCTTCGGACGAAAGCTACGAGGCCGACCAAATTTTAACTGGGATGGGCCCATCCACGAAACGCGCAATTGTCCCTACACATAAACCACCTGTGGAGCTCGAGGATGAAGCCGAATATTCAGACGATGGAGAGAA